GGGTCCCTGGCGCTGTGAGGCAGCAGTACTAACCACTGAGCCACCGGGCTGACTCATTAGTGGTTATTCTTCGTGTCCAAGTTGGGACGGTGACCATCAATAGGCTGTTGGACAATGGGGAGCATCACTCCCATCCTTTTCCTTTCCTGACTTGCATGTGCACAGCAGAATTGGATGATAGTCATCGTGAGTGGTCATCAACACTGAAGTGTTTAACTTTTGCATTAGCTAAGCTTGGTGCCTTGATCTAAGGTATCTGCCAAGGTAAGGAGATAACAAGGTGTAGAGGTGGATGAACACAGCAGGCCCAGCAGCATCATAGGCGAAGGAAAGCTGACGTTTCGGGCCTAGACCCTACTTCAGAAGGAGGGTCTAGGCCCGAATGTCAGCTTTCCTGCTCCTATGATGCTGCTTGGCCTGCTGTGTTCATCCAGCTCTACACCTTGTTATCTTTGAAGAAAGTCGGTTTGTTTTCCCTCATCAGTTACGACAAGCTGTGGCTCTTAGCCAATAGAGACTTTGTATAACATGTGAACCAGTCACTCTGTACCTCCTGCAACCAAAAGTACCGAAGGAAGATTGAGGAGTAGCAAGCTCTGTGGACAGAGGCCACTGAATTGCCTTACCAATCTTTCCCTCTGTCCAATACACTCTTTTCTGTTAACACAGAGAGGGAGTTTTCTAAGAGGGGTAGAGTTTTAACTGGGAGCTATATGTTCAACAGTTTGTAAATTATTTACTTGTAGTTCAAATTTATTTGTAATGAATAGTAATCCTTGTTAAGTATGGAAGCCTGGCCCATGCTTTCTATTAAACTGGGTTTAAAAGACAGCCAAATTAGGAATTGTATAAAATCTTTAATGTTTGAGACAGCTCTGGGAAAAGCAGGGTTTGATTTCCAGAGTACTACCAGTAAGAGGTAACAATATCCACTCCTCCCTGCAGCAGCAGCTTGAGAAGAAGCTTCAGTGCCGCACTGGAGTGGAATTAAGGATTAAAATAAACACTGGGCGTTGTCACTTTGTCTTATCTTGCAAGGATCTTTGCATAAATGAGCTGGGATGTTTCATTGCAGCTGTACAGGGTGTTGGTGAGACTACGCCTGATGCATTGTGTGCAGTTTTGGTCTCCCTACCTACAAAAGGATATATTTGCTATCAAGGGTGTGCAGTGAAGACAGATTCCTGAGTTGGCAGCTTACTTGTACAAGGGCAGATCGCGTTGAATGAGTCACTAGAGTTAAGACTGAGAGGGATCTCATTGTAACCATGTATTTCTGACAGGGCTGGACAGACAGGAAGCAGGGATGTGGGGGCAGGGTACAGGAGGGGTGCAAGACCTAGAACTGGGGGTCACAATCTGACAATATGGGTAGACCTTTTAAGACTGAGATAACGAGAAATGTCTTCACTCAGAGGGTGACGAACATGTGGAATTCTCTCTACTGAAGGCTCTGGGGCCAAATCACTGAACATATTTAAGAAAGAAATACGTTTTCAGTGACTGAAAACATCAGGGCTGTGGGAAGACAGTGGGAGCTGCACATTGACTGCTGCATTTCAAGGCAGCTGCCCACCATCTCCACCTTCAGGGCAACTAAGGCTGTGCCCAGTGAGCGATGCCCACATCCTAATGAATAAAAAAAAGTATGCTTTTAAAGGTTAAAGAATTGGACAGTGAAGTGGGCCTGATGGACCAAATCATCTACTCATTTTCTTATTTGTTATGCTTTTCATTTCACCACAGCCTTGCCCCTCCCCATTTCTAATTTCCTCCAACACTTTGAGATATCTGCACTATTTAATTGTGGCCTCCTGTGCACGCCACCATTGGCGGCTTCAGCTGCTTTGTCTCTAATATCTGGAATTCCCTCCCTACATTTAGAGAGGTTTATAAAATCATGAGGGGCATAGATAAGGTGAATAGCCAAGGTCTCTTCCCTCGGATAGGGAGTTCAAAACTGGAGTGAGAGGGAAAGATTTAAAATGAGACCCAAGGGACAACCCAAGGGCGGTACGTGTATGGAACAAGCTGCCAGAGGAAGTGGTAGAGGCAACTACAGTTACAACATTTAAAAGACATTTGGACGAGTACATGAATAAGAAAAGATTCAAGAGATATTGGCCAAACGCAGGCAGATGGGACTAGTTTAAGTTTAAGAGCCTGGTCAGTATGGACAAACAGGGCCAAAGGGCCTGTTTTTGTGCTGTTTGACTATGACCTCTCCCCCTCATCGTCTTCCTTTTAAACACTTCTTTAAAAAGCTACATCTGAACAAGCTTTTGGGCATCTAACCTAATATGCCTTATGCAGTTTGGTGTCTTACTTAGCTTTATAATAGTCCTGTAAAATGCCTTGGCTTATCACACTACATTAAAAAGGTGCTTTATTAATACAAATCGTGGTTGTTGATAGAAGACTTCCTTACAGAACACTTGCTGAACTCAAACCTGGATACACAGTCTTAATCAAAACCCAATTCCCTGCCCCCAAAAAACAGAAAACTGCCATATCATCCAGCCTTGCGTTACCCACTGCTCATTGACTGGGTCACTGTCACCTCAAAACCGTTGTCCGAGTATCGCAAGGGATTTTTAAAGCTACTCTGGATTTGCAAAAAGAACTCAAACTAACCGAATGCATTGAAGATCTCTCTCAGTCTGGCAGTATTCATATCTTCTCCAAAATTCTTGATATAAAGGTTGGTGTATTCCAAAACTTTACTTCCAAATTCAGCTTCTCGTTCTTTATGGGATTTGAAGTGACCTACAAACCTTTTACAAACACAAACACCCAAGATTAGTCTGAGGCAAACAGCAGCAGGTAGGGGAAGGAGGGAAGAGATCAAAAAAATACAGCCTATAGATTTTTCTTGTGTACAAGTTGATGACAGCAAAGCTTCAGGATTCTTTCAAGGAACAGCCCCCGATTAAAATAACAATCCAGAAGGACAGCCATTTTAAACTTGATTCCTGTTTTGCACCTCACTGACATTATTGATCCTGTGCATCACTGCTTTCAGTACACAGAACTCCATCAATTTTTTTTCATTAAAGTTTGCCACACGGTTCATGGGGAGGCATCAGTAAGAGAGCCTGTGTGTGCTGGATGATGTTCCACCCAAACATTGGCCAGAATGACATAAGAGAAGACCTTGACTAGGGGTGGCTTCTCGCTGCACTCCTCCTTCTCCACACCCACTCAAACCCCCTCCAAAACCATTGGGATATTGCCAAAATAGACATGAGCTTAGCCCTGAAAAGACCTCAAAGTAAGGTAGACAACGCAAGGAGATTCTGGACTCAGCAACTGGAGAACAACAAATTCTGGCCAAAAATAAAAAAGGAGAAGCTAAGGAGCAGCAGAGCTGGGGTTAAATTAATTGAACTTCCTTACAAACGCACAATGGGTTTATACAACCTCCCACTAAGCCACAAGGGAATTTTTCCCACATGGTCAATATTCATTCCTCATTCAAGCAGAATTTGAGCTCTCTGCTCATCACACTGCAGCTTGTGGAATCTTGCTGCGCTCAGATTGGCTACTGTGTTTCCAACAGCAAGGTCAATCTCAAAATGGAGATGTAATGCATCTGGACAGAGGTTGTTAAAGTGCTAACCGCCCACCAACGGATCGGAGGGATTGGGGGTAACGGGGATGGAGATGGAAATGGAAATGTCTGCTGGATGGAAAAACTTCAACTTGTAACAAGGAGTCTCCAAACCTAAAAATCTCTTTCACTCTGGGTTCATAAAACACGCTTATAGCCCATGGTCTCAGTCAAAATATTAATATCTAATTTAAAGAGCAAACATTAGAAATTTGGACCCAGATTAGGAATTGCTGAAAGTGTGGCAGGTCTGCTCTGAGCTGATGAGGAGAGGCAAGTGAATCTTCAAGATGGAAGATAATTTAAAAAAACAGCAATTATTGAACTCACTGTACCTCAAACAGTATCACATTGGAGCTTCTCTTTCACCGAGCTGATGTTCCTATCCAGAAGTGCATAAAATACCCAACTTATGCTGTTTGAAAATAAAGCGCACTTTTGGTACATGTGTAGCAACATGTGTAGCAACATGTGTAGCAACATGTGTAGC